ACCCCGCCCTAGGGAGCTGAGTGAGAAGCAAATGCTGGTTTTTTTTTTTTTTTTTTTTTTGAACATTAATGATATCAAAGAGCACGAAAGTCAATCAGATTCGAAATGGACAGTTACTTGGAAAATATGTTTTTGCAGGGGTCTGGGTAGGCCATGGTCCCGAACTCCGACACCACGATCCGATTGGCCTCGATGTTGGCGTTGTAGGTGTCGCTCCGCAGGTATTTGCTCCGGTAATGGACTTCGCCTGCAAGAGAGCAGCGCATAGCCTCAGGCCAGCAGCCCCTTCCCCGGCTGAAAAGCTAGTTTAGCCATTTGGGGTTTTCTTTTCTTACTTTTTTTTTTAAAGATTTATTTAATTTTATTAATTATTATTATTTTTTTTAAAGATTTGACCAGAGAAAGAAAGAGAGAGGGAAAGTGAGAAAACAAGCCACCAGGTCCAGGACCCGAACCATAGCTGGCCATGTTGGAGGCCAGCACCTGATTCACCATGGCACCTAGTTTTGATGGAGGGACAATCAGTTCACGAGGACAGGCTTCTCTAATCTATTCCAAGATCCTTAACTTGGTGTTGGCAGAGTCTCTTTTGCTTCTCAAGATAACATATTCACAGTTTCCTCTTGTGGGAAGTGAGGGGAGATGCTTCCCAGATGGGAGTTAATCAGGAGAGGCTTCATAGAGGAGGTGGCATCTGAAATAGCAGAATTCTTGTGCAATAGATTGAGGAGGCAGAGGGAAGCAAGGGGACGGGGCTTTCCAGTTCTCCCCAGGAAGTCTGTAAGCAAAGCCTGGAGGAGGGAAAGTGCAGCCACTGTGTGCAAGAACAGAGCCGGGTTGGCGAGACCGCCCGGGAGGTGCTCAGAGTGGTAGGGGCAAGAGGAGTTTGTGAATGGCCTGGAACAGGGCCTACTGGGTCTGCAGGGCTGAGTGCCTGGGGCCTTTGGACTTCACTTGGTGGGTAATTGAGACCTGGGGCAGGGTTGGCGTTCTATTTCATTTTGCTGTTACGTGTTATTATTATTATTTTAGAGAGATATTTTTCTATAGGGCTTATGTGCTCGCTAGAGAAGCAGAGAGAGACTGAGAGAAGGCGAGAAATCACCCCTCAGGGAGGATGGCCATGCCACAGTCCCTTCGCCATTCTCCTCTCAGGATTTTGGGCATGCATGCGCATGCACCTGATATGAGGGTGCTTTTGTTTTTTAATTATTTTATTTATTTTATTGTTAATACTTTTTAGTTTGACCAGAGAGAGAGAAAGAGAGAGAGAGAGAGAGAGAGAGAAAGTAAACTGCTAGGTCTGGGATTCAAACAGCAGTCGGCCATGTGGGAATCCAGCAACATAACCATTATGCCATTTGCTGGTACATTTTGCTTTAATTATTATTATTATTATTTTAAAAGAGTTATTTTATTTAACTTTATTTACTTATTTTAATTTGACCAGAGAGGGACAGAGCAAGAGAGCAAAAGAGAGAGAGAAAATGAGAAAGCCAGCCCAGGACTTCAGCCGCAGTCGGCCATGTGGGAATCCAGAGCCCAGCCACCAGGCCGCCTGCCAGGCCCCGTTTTGCTGTTAATTATGAAATGACATTGTGTTGCCTTTTTTCCTCCCTGGAGAACATGTTTCTTTATGGTGTCATTCCAGTATTGATACAATTACCAGGTGCAGAAAAGTAGGGCCCAGGAAGTAAACAGAACGTTGATCCCAGGAACGCCCTCCAAATATTGACGGCCATCGAGTACTGACAGTGAGAGGCTAGGGGGCAGAAGGAATTCACTAGAAATTCCTGCCCAGCGCCTTTAACCAGCAGGCAGGTGCCAGCCCCCAAATCCTGACAGGACGGAGAAAAGGGGGAAAGGACTATGGGACCATGGCCCATCAGGGGTGCTTTCTCTCTTTTCCTCTTTCTGATGAACACTCACACCTTCTGACAATTGAAAACAAAAGAGAAAACAACAACAAAAAAACCTGTAGACACTTCCTCCTGGTCAGGAAACGAAGTGAACAGCCCCGGAAACCCCTCACCCATCCAGCTAAGACAAACTGTCTTCCCTCCAGGGGAACCCCTAGTTTGACTTCTACAAGCACCCATCCTTTTCCCCTCGGGCTTGTGTTGTCTTGTCCACCCTCAGAGGATCTGGTGACATTTCAGGGGTAATCACTCCCACCCTGGCACTGGAGTGGACAAAATGACCATCAGCCCCGTGAATCACAGCCACATTGGTGGAGACTGTTACCATGTTCCTTCTCGGCCTTCCGGAGGTTAACTGTGTGTCCCCGAGGGGCTGACAGTCATCTGTCCCTTCTCACATCCTTCTAGGGTGACTCCTGTGTGAATAAGTGTCCTGAGGTATTTCTGTAGGGTGATTTATTCCTGGGGCATCAAGAACTATGGTGGAAGGGTGAGGAGCCTGGGCTATGGGCGGTCCAGTCTCTGAGGTCCTGCTTCCAGTATTGGTCAAGCCCTTGATGGGCCGGGGGACGGATGTGAAAGTGACCAGAACAGCCACGGTCCCTCCCCCTGAGAAGACCCAGCTTCCCACCTGGACACAAATCCTCACTCATCACGTGCCAGCCATGCTCTTGACCTCGGTCAGGGGCAAACCCAGCCCCTCCACTGTGGCGAGGATCAACGCTTTACAGCATTGTATGACACTTAAGGCTCTGGGACCACCAGGTTGTGTAGTTGTTACGTTGCTGGACTCCCACATAATTGACTGCAGTTCGAGTCCCAGATCTGGTGGCTTAAAACTCATACCAGGCACGTGTGTGTGAGGCCAAGATCCCGGGAAGAGAATGGAGGAGAAGGGATTGTGGTGTGGCCATGTCCCCTGGGAGGTGATTTCTTGCTTTCTGTCTCTCTGGCTAATGCACACGCCCTATAGCAAAAATCTCTCTCTAAAAAAAAAAAAGGTTTATAAAGCACTGAGTGCATAGTAGGTGCTCAAAGCTACACACAGTCTTGAGATGCAGTATACTGAGTGGTCAAGGCTTTGCTGTTGGGCAAGTCTCTTAACCTCAGAGAAACCTGGGTTCTTCACCTGGAAGTTGGGGGTCACCTAGTCCTCCCGTCCTAGGTGGGCAGTGTGTGTGATGGGAGGACAAGGTGACTGTTCACTATCACCTGGCATACAGCTGGTAAATGACAGCCACTGATATTCGGGATTGTCCTGAATTCTGGATGTTGGGGAAGACCACACACACTGGTCCTCAGCCATGTGCTACACAGAGGAGACCGGCTGTAGGGCCACCCTGGTCGTCAGGGAGCCAGCCTGTCCTGCACCCGTCATTCCAGAGGTCCCACCCACAAGGACTGCCTAAGGTGCTTTGGGCCTGCATGGCCTGCAATGCTGAATTCTGTTCACTTGAAACATAAACACCCAGCTCCTGTTCTTGTAAACACCCAGTCTCTGAGCACGCAGTGCTAGGTGGCTCTGCAATCACTCAAGGCTGACACTGGGCGCTGAGGTTGAGACCCCCACCACCCCGCTGGCTCTCGGAGAGCCCAATTAGCACATTCCTTCTGCAGGGACGCAGTAAACAGACGTGCAGCTGCTCAGCCAGGCCGCAGCTGACGCAAGCTGGATACATTTTTAGGGAGAGCTGGGAGGGAAGGCATATATTTATATAAAAGCAAACTTCCCAATGTTCAAACCCTGCTGGGATCACTTGGCCCCCTGTTAGAGAATTACTGGCTCGTATTGTCAGGGAGACTTCCGGTCACTCAGCTCTGTGCCTGCCTTATAAAACCTTCTGGTTGTGAAATCATTTTAATCTTACAAAAAGAAGCATCTTTTTTTTTCAGTTTCCAGAGCATGCATATGCTCAACAGAGAGAGACAGAGAGACACAGAGAAAGAGATGGGGCGTGGCCATGCTGCAATCCCTTCTTGTCCAGTTCGCCATCCTGCTGGGGTTTGGGCACACATGTACACCTGCTTGATGTGTTTCTCAAGCCACTGGGGCCAGGATTCAAACCACGGTCAGCCATATTAGACCTGGGTCTCTTAACCAGTAGGCCCCAGAGCCAGCCAAAAAGAAGTATTCTTTTTTTTTTTTTGTCTTGGGATGCATGTGCTCACCAGAGACAGAGACAGACAGACAGATAGAAAGCAAGAAATCACCCCCTAGGGGTTGGCCAAGCCGCAATCCCTTCTCCTCCATTATCCTCCTGGGGTCTTAGGCATGCATGCGCATGCACTCAGTGATTTTCAAGCCATCAGGTCTGGGACTCGAATTGCAGTCCGCCATGTGGGAGTCCAGCAACGTGACCACTATGCCATCTGCTGCTCCCCAAAGGACATTCTTGTGTGCCATTCACCCAGCAGGTGCCCTCCCTCCCCGAACTCCGCCCCTCTGATCCAAATCCTCGTTATTTTTAAAAAGGCCTCTGCTCAAGGCCACAGCCATTTTTCTGCCTTTTCACTTTCTTGATCCCACATCTCCTCACTGGTCTGGCCTTAGGTAGAGGCTCTGTAGACTGGCTGTATGCTGCAGGCACCTGGGGGCTTTTTAAAAATCCACACCCACGCCCCAGGCTAGGTACTTCTGGAAAGGAGGTCTTGGGTGGGGCTGAACAGTAGGCTGGGGGTCCAGGGAGGGGGGATTCTCAAGCCTCAGGAGACTTGGGTCACCTGGGAACATGTTGGAAACACTGATGCTCCAGCCCTACCTTCTGAGATTAGGATGCACTTAGCCCTGAGTGGGTCCCTAAATTTGCACCCTTAATGGCCGCCACCTTTTGAGAATGCTGGCCACAAATCAGAGGTTGCAGTTTCCCTGTGCATGCCCTCTTCTGAACAAGGCGTAGTGGGAGTTACCATCTGGGGTTTATATTTTCACTGTTGGAAAATGGGGAGCCACCGAGAGTTCTAGAGGAGAAGCCCGGCTGTGTCACACCAATGCTGGGAATCTGTCAGTGCTGAGAGGAGTGGGCTGGAGAGGAGAGGAGAGGAGAGGAGAGGAGAGGAGAGGAGGAGAGGCCGTGGCTGACGGGCGTGGGAGATGGAGCAGAATCGGATAATAGTTAGGACTTGAGATTCTGAGTTGGAGAGCTCTGGGTTGGTTGGTTTGCTTTGTTGTGGGTTACATGCACTCACCAGGGAAGGGGAAAGTGAGAACTCACCCTGGGCAGAGATAGCCACATCACAATCCCTTCTGCTCTACTCTTCATTCTGCATCTTGGGCACATGCTCCTGGCGTGTTTTTCAAGCAATTATGTCCGGGACTTGAACCTCATGG